CCTTCAACACCCCGCAAAAATGGAATTTCTGCCCTTTTTTTTCCCATTTTTTTAAATAAGAAACTGATGGGAAAAATTAGTTTCAAGTTTTACCTTTACTTCCCCCAAGTTTGAACTATGGGCCACTGTGGGCTTGAACATATCTGAACATCACTGTTTAAATCCTGGGATATGTTACTATTAAAAGCTAATTTGTAGTAACTGCTCCCCTGGAATATAACTTCCTTCACAAGGCCTTTTTCAAACCCCTGTTTGCCAGATTTGGGCCTCCAGGCTCAAAACACTAAGCTTCCATTTTCAAGATGAGAAAATACTAGAATGATAAGAAACTGAAAAGTTAAACCATTTCAGACTTGCTCACAGCAGCGTGAGAGATGCTTATCTAAAATGGTATGACTTTTTCTTTTACAGGTCAGTTAAGCTGGCAGAAGCCATGACAAAAAGGAAACATCTTTTCTACGTCAGGCACTTTATCAAACAGCAGTGATACCCTTGTTCTTAGGGGGAAATAAAGGAATCAAAGCAATAGGCCACTGAGCTTTATTCTTTCACTGACTAAATATATCGTGCTAGAATTTGTTCCTGTGAGAGTCACAATCTCCTTAGTCTATTTTTACATTTTGCTTCTCTTTTAGATCCACCTCCTCAATGCAGAGGTTGCTCCACATACTGTTCTCACCAGTTCAGTAACATCCTGTTCGTGATGAGAGTTTCTGGTTCCTCATGGCTGGATGTTAAGCACATACATGTCTGACTCAAATACGGAACAAAACTATTTCTGTGCTAAAACTAGATCAGTTTATTGCACAATGAGAAGACAGTTCTCAATAATTCTTAAAGAAATTCTTCTGGTTTTCCTCTCCCCATCCTCAAGAGAAATCCAACTACTCTTCATTGCTCTCACTGGCTTCACTCCCAATATCCAATTTTAACCAGAAAATTTATACCAGATTTTTGAACTGGAAGCATGGAAGCTCTAGATTTTTCTTGTTGTCTCCATGTGTTTCTTGTAAGTATTTTTTTGCTCTTTAGGATCGCTTCTTCTACTAGGTACATTCAGCAACTATTTTTAGACCCCTGCAAAATTCCTCTAATACCCATACTTTTTGACCCAAGCTTTTCTTTTCTAAAATAGAAGAGTTACTCAGTAAAGTATACAAATTTGGGAAGTATTAAATCATTCTACAATTATATTCTTCTTTACACATTTCCCTGTGTGATTTGATTAAGGGGGTTTAAATGAGTTTTTCAGACACACAAACTCACTCTGATGGCCTCACTTTCTTACAGTAAAATACAAGTTTGAACTAATTCTTTTAGAAATGGTGGAAAGTCTCAAGCCAGAAGATTAGAACAAGCCAGGGCCCTGCATGGATGCTGCCATGTTAAGGTAACTGGTCACAGTACAGCAGAGTCCCATGGAAATACACAAGGAGAAAGGGAGAAACCAGAGGCTAAATTCTCTGCCAGAGAAAGCCAGGCAACAGCAAGTCAGGGTCATCAGTCTCTTCTTCTATGGCCTAGAAAGGGATATACCAAGAAACAAAGACTTACAGCAGCACCAAAGGTACAGTGAACACCAACCACCAACACACTTTTCATTGGTGTTTTTTGTAACAAGTTTGAAACAAAACAATGAAGCAAAGTCCACACAATGCTAGACCCTCCAACCATAACCAATGCCTCCTTTCCTGCTGCAACTGAACAGCAATCCCAAAACAACACAACTAAGCATTATGAAGAGGAACCTAGTGCTTAGAGAGTGAATACAATTGGACAGTTCCTTAAGTTACCGTTTAATCACAGCATTAAAAGGCAATCACCAATTTCTGGGTAAGCAAACCATTAATAGACAGCTGCTTACTTGTACTTGAGAAATGTCCTTTCCCGGGAGAATCCTAATCTTGCATACTTGACAACTAAAAATTCAGTTACACTGGATTATTAAAAACACTGGATATTTCAAATAGTTTACAACCCAGTCCTTTAACAACAGTGCCTTCATGTGTTTATCACACGCATTTTATTATTTTAAAGCAGAGATTCAACTATGTTTTAAGTTGTAATTCTGTCCTCCCACACATCCACGAGCAAATTAGGCCAATTCCAAACTATTTATAAAACCTCCTACATAGAAAGGAGTTTGAGATTTTAAAACATATTAAGTTTAAAATAAACAAAGTCAACCTACCAGTGTCATAAACCTTGTGAACTGTCAATTTTTTGTTCTGGTCTAGTAAGGCATCCTAAAGTAGTAAGAACCAAACTGTGAGAATGACTGTCCTTGGCCAGAGGTTGCATTCACATCACATTTCATAACATTTTAATAATGTTTATTATGTAAGTTTGTCTAATTAACATCTAAACTTACTTCTACATTTGGCATCTATAACATCCTGTGGCAATGAGCTCCAATATGCAATTATGTGCTGCATGAAAAAACCACTTATTTTAAACCTACTGCTGGGTAAGAGCTAGGAGTCATCAAAAACGTGTTATAAGAAATGATGAATAATCATGCTCTCCCCATCCTCTCCAGAACATTAGTAGCTTTACATACCTCTTGCATTTCTTCTGACCTAATTTCTATTCCAAGCTGCAGAGTCCTAAACATCCTGTTCAAATACAGGTATCTCTTGCCCCCCACATAACCTGGTTTATCCTTACTAAAAGAAAGGACATCTGCAATTGTTTGTACTTTGCCAGGTCAGTCATGGATGTCATCATGATGTTTGTACAGAATGATAATGGAACTTCAAGTCCTCTTTTTTGAGCAGCAACAATTTAGACTGACATGTCTGTTAGCCAGTTCCCCTCTGCAAGCATTATTGTATAATATTGTGTAGTTAATGCACTTGCCATTTCATCTTGCATTATCTTCCCACAACTGTTCATGTTCACAGATTTGGGGATCTTAATATTGTGAATGGTATATGAGTACAAGCTGTTATTTTGCTTTTAGCCCCCTTCACAGACTTATTAAAGCAACAAAGATCTTCATATAGATCCCTGCAGGACTCTACTCTTGGCTTGTGATAACTGATCTTCTACTCTCAGCCTTTGTATTTTTTCCTATCTTAAATAGTTATTAACCTGAAAGGACTTCTCCCTTACTTTTGTGACTGATTTCTTCAAGAAACTTTGGCAGCAGCTGTCATGAACTGGGGTAGTTAGTTCATATGAGATATATAGTTCTAACATGACCATGAACTCACATTCAACCAAGCTATAATCTGCCTACAACAATCATGTCAGCTCTTATTTATCATTTCACATTCTCCGTGTACATGATCATTTTTCATATTTATAAACACACGACTTCTCATTTGATGCTATGAAGTTTTAATTAATTTTATAGGGACAGAAATAAAACTTTCTGGGCTGTATCTTCATGTAAATTATACCACATTTCCAAATTCAGAGATGATGTATTCTAATTACTCCAGACTTGTTGGGTGTACCCTGATTAATCCAGGTGATTTGCTATTTTTCATTTTAATCAGCTTGTGCTAAAAGTTCTTCCCCTAATATATGAGTTTGAATCAGATCACCTGAGACACCTTAAGTAAGTTCCAGTGCAGTAAATGTCATATACCCTCTATAATTAACACAAATAAAAAAAGAGGCTCTGTGATATTTGGTGCTGAGGATTTACCTTCTGCTAGTGTTCTCAGAATGTCTTGATCCTTACTGAGCCCGGAGACTATTAGGTTTACTTTTCCTGATGTGCCTGAAGAATTTCTCCGGCTCTTTCTGTGCCTGGTCTTCTGGTTTTGACACGTAACTTTACCAGTTTTGCACCCAAGCATTTCTCACATTTGGTTACAATTTCAACTTTATGAAGTCTCTCTTCACCTGTTACAGACTTCCCCTCTTTACAGTTTAGTAATGCTGAGGTTTGGGGCTTTTCTCCTCCATTATGACAGACAGCAAACATTTAACAATTAATATGGTAGCTCTGGATACCACTAAAAGCCTTATCCTTTCAGCTGTTCCATCTAACAATTTCCTAAAAAGTCTGTTCCCTTAGGCATAGTTCTCTCTGTAAGATGCTCTGGCAATATATTTGACACTTGCTCTTAAAACAACATGGCAATTGTATTCATGATGGTTATTCTTGTAGGGTAGCTCGACAGTAATTTCAATCTGAACATGGTCTTGTGCACTGCACGTTTGTCAAGACCTACTCCTCTTGTCAGTTAACAGTTTATCAGAAAACCCAACATACTGTTCTTCACTTCTACACCTACTAAGTTTTCATATACATAATAAAACCGTGTAGTAAGAGGAAATGGTTCTTCCCTCAGCATTTTACCTCCTATAGCACTTTACAGTAATGTTCCATCACATTAACATGGGCAGTGTAACACTCATCCTATCTTGATCTGTGTGCATACAAATTCAAACCATAAGTCTACTTTCTTGTCCAGACATAGAATCAACAGAATCACAGAATTTTAGGGGTTGGAATGGACCTTAGAGATCAACTAGTCCCAGCCCCCTGCCATGGGCAGGGACATCTCCCCACCAGAGCAGGTTGCTCAAGGCTTCATCCAGCCTGGCTTTGAACACTGCCAGGGATGGACCTTCCACTGCCTCCCTGAGCAACCTGTGCCAGTGTCTCACCACCCTCACAGGAAAAAACTTTTTCCTAATATCTAACCTAAATTTTCCCTCTTTCAGTCTGTACCCATTTCCTCTTGTCATGTCACTGCAGCTCCTAACAACATAGCTTTGACCATAAACCTTAACACAGAATCTCCCAGAGTACAGTTCGCATTCTCATGTCTATATAAATGTTTGCCCTTATACTAACATCCTCCTGTACCAATTTTCTGTGATGCCAAATTTGTCAATATCCCGATTTCAAACCAGCATTCCATCTCTCACACCCAATTTGTCACATTCCAGAGTTTGTCCTGAAGAATACCTACAACTGCTACTGGTCCAATTGTCTTTTTCTAATACTTTAAAAAAAGAAGCAAGTAGGAAATACATACATGACGGTGTTAATCCCTGACAGTTGTTGAAACATCTGCAGACCACAACCCACAATTAAGGCTCTTCGAGTTGGAGGGTATGTTAGCATTCTGCAGATCACAGGTCCAGCTTAAAAAAAACACAAGACAACAACAAAAGAATACATAATAGTTCTTAAGTGATCACTATCAAGACAATCTTGCCAGGCATAAAAGGATTTGCACCTTAGTTTCAAACTTGGATTATTTCAATTATTTTTGAACAACTTGGTCACAGAATCACAGAATATTCAGAGTTGGAAGGGACCCACAAGGACTACTGAGCCCAACTCCTGGCCCTGCACAGGACATCCCCAAGAATCACCCATGTTCCTGAGAGCATTGTCCAAATGTTTCCTGAGCTCTGTCAGGCTTGGTGCTGTGAAAATTTCCCTGGCCTGGGGAGCCAGTGCCCAATTACCCTCTGGGGGAAGAAGTATCTTCTAATATCTAACCCAAACCTTCCCTGAAACAACTTTAGGACATTTCCTTGGGTCCTGTCACTGGCTATTTCAGTTCTGCTTTCCTGCACTGTACTACAAACATGATTTTTCAGGAAGCCCAGGCAAAAAAAGAAGAAACAATTTTTGGATACAGAGTCTACTAGTGGTGTCAAATGTACAGCTCGGGGAAGAAGTATCTTCTAATATCTAACCCAAACCTTCCCTGAAACAACTTTAGGACATTTCCTTGGGTCCTGTCACTGGCTATTTCAGTTCTGCTTTCCTGCACTGTACTACAAACATGATTTTTCAGGAAGCCCAGGCAAAAAAAGAAGAAACAATTTTTGGATACAGAGTCTACTAGTGGTGTCAAATGTACAGCTCTCCTACATCATACTAACAGATTGCACATCTGCTGCAACCGAATGCACTCAAGAGTTATCACAAAATATCACTGTTGTTTCCTTTCTAAAAGCTTCCACTGTTACTGAGAGGTTATTTCAGAAATGTCATTACTCACTGCTCAGATCTGATCTCTGAGATAAAGTGTTCTCCCTAGTCCCCAAAAGAGCCAATTTCCACAAACCAGTTACAAGTGTGAGTGTTTTGAAGGTACAGGATAGATATGTTCTGCACAGCTCTAAGGCCAGCAGAGGGAGTAGAAATTAATGACATTTTTTTCCATACCTTTGGTAGCAATGGTATGAGGCTGCATTTAAGAAGTAGAAAACAGTTCCTCGATGAAGGAAAAAACTCCAATATTTCTGGCAAACAGAGAAAGTTTTATTCTCTTTTTTAAATTTCCAAAGTATCCTATTAAAAAAAAAGGTAATACAGAAAGCTATAGGGTAATGGGCAAAAATCTAAAACACTTGACTCCAGTATTTAATTCAACCTCTTTCTGCCCAAAGTGGTGCTTAGGGCAGAATACAGTCTGTTGAAAAATTCTATGTTTTATACATCTTATCATCTGAGTGCACATCTGGTGCACTCAGAACACCTAATCACTGTATGAGTAAGTCAAAACAGTTTCAATCCAAAAAAGAGGTGAAGAGGATCTATACTTTCACATTTTCAAAGTCTTTCCTGAACATAGAGAAAATATTAAAAGTATTGATTCGGTAAAAAAACCAATATTGGTCTGCTAGTGAAGAACAATTTACACACAGTTTCAACCTCAGAAAACTAGAGAACTGTGACTAGTTTCAAGAGTGGGACTCAAGAAAGGGGTTTAGATAACATTTTCTTCATGGAAAGATAATCAGACCCACCTAAGAACAACTTATTTTGACTAAAAAATACGGTATCTCTACTTTATATCTCAACAGTATCATCATTTAACTTTGCTTCTTTACTATTAACAGCAGAACACAGCCTGACAAATTTTTCTAGCTGGTTTCCAAGTAACATCAACATCCAGACAGTCTGACATGTCCTGCCATTTAGCCACATCATTACCTCAAAATGTCTCCAAGTAAAATCAAGTGACAGATAAATAGAGTCAATCCATATACCTCCTAAGATATTCTCAAGCAAGACACATAACATCACTGGGCCAACAAGTACATCAAAGGTTTCATAGTCACATCTGGCATTTCCTTGGTGGAAAACCAACAAAGCCAGCACTCTCTGCCAGCTAGGAGCAACCCAGACCTCAGACACACTCTGGGATTTCTCAACTCCAATCTTCACAAAGGAAAAAGATTAACTAACAAATGTACCTACCTATGAACTGTAATTCACAACCAGCAGCCCTCAGGTTCTCAGACTCGGCATCACACCTGAGCATGGAGGCTTTGGGCTTGAAAACCTTATCTGGCAACTGATTCTGCAGCTTCTGTTGTAAACCAGGGCAGCAGAACGCCTATGAGAGACCCTAGATTCTTCATAAACTTTATATAAGGTCCTTAACTAACACCTATCTTTATCTTCAAAGGACCGTACAGCCAACCTATATCTTGAAGTCCACCATCCATGACCATGCTCATTGAAGAAGCTGGAACACTACAGCGGTTAGGAAAGGAGGCAGAAATGTCCTAAGGAACTCATGGAAGGTTTTAAACAATTCTGATCCACTGAGCCTTTTGATGAAAATTATATAAGACTCTGTTCACAATACAGCATTGTACGAAACAATTGGAAAAAAGGCACTAAAATGAATAACTAGAAATTAAAGCAGCTGTTCTCAGACAATGGCAACTCAGAGGGAGTTGTGAACTGTCAACAAAACTCCATCACACCAATCAGTCTGACTGCTTGAAGTGGGGCCCTGCAGAAACTTTAAGACCATGTAGTAAAGTTCAGACCTTTGCTTTAGAACTTTAGACTTTTAGAACATTCAGGCAGCTAAATTCAATAAGTACTTGGAATTTTTCAGACTTCTGATTAATTGTATCAGAAAAATGATGCTAAAATTTATCACAGTCATTTCAAGGTAGCGTTTAAAAAGTTTCCCTCTGAAGCTGTACCATGGCAACCACTACATATCAGTAGGCATACACAAAATTAAAGGATTTTCTTTCATAAAATTCACAGCCTTCAGGTTTACAAACCAATAAATGGAACAAAAGAAATAAAAGAAACTGCTAATCTCTATATTAAAGGAGCTTTACAAACTCCACTAAAAAACCCAAAGGACTTTGACTGTGAGGTGACTGATTTTAAAACAGAAAATGAGTGTTAAACATCTTATTACAATTATCTACCTCTGAAACTAGCTATGCTATATCTGCATTTTCCTATCACCAATCCTGCCAACCATATTTTGTTGAGTTCATGTGTTGCAGCCTTCTTAAAAACAAACAACTCTAGGCAGAACATGGTTTTTAACACAGAAAAACAAAAAAAGTTTTCTGAATTAAATACATTTTTCTTCCAAGAACTAAAGGTGTACTTCAGGAGTATCTTATAACCCGTAAATATGCTGGTGGTTATGACAATAGATTAAAATGGCACGGAACAATAAAATCATTAAATCATTAAAAAATGGAGCAACTTCACTGCACATAGAACTAGAGGGAAACAAATGACGTAAAACATATATCATAGAAAAAATTAAATATTTGGCAAATTTTACAAAGAAAAAATAGACATTTGTCTCCAAGAAGTCACTTCTTTTTTTGTCCAGGATACTCCTGCCTTAATGGCTGTTGTTTTCTTTTCAGCTAGGCAATTCCAACACATTCCTGCATTGGAACCACTTCATTTGAACTTGAGAATGCACCAAGATGTTTGTTTTAATTCTTCTAATCTCTAAATAAAAATGAAGTCAAAAGGATGAGACCTCCTAATTTAATTTAATGAGACTAGATTGAGTTGGACTTTTGTGCTGTGGTTTCAGGTAATTACTTAAACTGAAGTAAGTGTCTTTTATGCATATGTTTAAAAGGGTTCAAAAAATGCTACAGTAAAGGGCAGCCAGAGCTTACTCTAGTGAGAGCACAAAATGGCAGCATAGGATAAAGAGCACTGGAAAAACAAGGATCCTGCTGCTGTGGATACTGCTTACTTCAAGTGGTGATACATGAAATGGACTGCTGTGATCCAAGTGGATATTTCGTGGCTTGACCTAAATTGTCTACCACACTAGACATTCATCCTCATAAGCAAAAGGCAAAAATAGAATTTGGAAGTTCTGCTTCATATCCAAAAAAGACTTATTGGCTTACACTGAGCTAAACAGGGGAGAAGAAGCTGTTCTTGTCAAATCATTCCTTCTGATAGTGACCGATGCTTTCCAAACTGTACATTTTATAAGTGGTTATTGGAAACTTTTAATGCTAGCTTCCTATATTTTAGCTGTTATCCTTGTTACCAGGCATGAACCACAAGCCATGTTTGGAAATTATGGATCACCTGCTAAGGCATTTTGATTTTCCTCTGCAGGTAAAATGGATTGTACAGCAATCATAGCAGCTTGGGTGTGATCATTAATGTATTCAAGTACATCAATGGGAAGTGCCAAGATGATAGAGCCAGAGTCTTCTCACTTGTGGAAACAAATAAAACAAGAGGTAACAGCAAAAAATTGATGCACAGGAAATTCCACCTGAAGATGAAGAAGAACTTCTTTCCTGTGCAGTCACCGAGCACTGAACAGATTGCCCAGAGAGGCCGTGGATTCTCCCTCACTGGAGGTATTCAAGTCTGGATGCAATCCTGAGCCATGTGTTCCAGGGTGACCCTGCTTGAGTAGGGAGGTTGGACCAGATGACCCACTGTGGTCCCTTCCAACCTAACTGATTCTGTGATTCACTGCCAACTAAAAGATACAGATACTTTTCAAAAAAACAATGAAACAGAAACCTTGGCTCTAGCAGGAGTTTATATAATGAAAGCTAAATAGCAGAAGAATGGGTATTAATGAGGTCTTGGCATTTCCTCCTGAAAATGTACTGTATACCCTTCCAGGGAAATAAAAATAAGCATAAAATAGACATAAAGCCAACCTAAAAATCCCACAGCAAATGCAGGCACATACCAATTGCCTGGAAACCTTGTGATCCCCCATTCCTCAAATTATTAGTAGAATATCTGGCAAAATTTCACAGCCAGGAAACTATGGCTAGAGACTGAGCTCTGCCAAAGTCATTTGCAGGTTCAAAGATTGTCTGCCAGCTAATCCAGGTAACAGCTTGTAGCAACAGCT